GTGCCCTTGGCCCATGATGGCCAAGGCGCACCCCCTACAGCCCATGTGGCCCCCCGGGACAGGTGGCCCCACCCGGTGGACCCCCGGGACCCTTCCGGTGGTCCTGGTACAATACCGATAACCCCGAAACTTGTCCCGATGCCCGAAATAGCACTTCCTATATATAATTCTTTACCTCCGGACCATTCCGGAACTCCTCGTGACGTCCGGGATCTCATTCGGGACTCCAAACAAAATTCGGGTTTCTGCATATACATATCTTCATAACCCTAGCGTCACCGAACCTTAAGTGTGTAGACCCTACGGGTTCGGGAGACATGCAGACATGACCGAGACGCTCTTAGTCAATAACCATCAGCGGGATCTGGATACCCATGATGGCTCCCACATGCTCCTCGATGTTGTCATCGGATGAACCACTATGTCGAGGATTCGATCAAACCCTGTATGCAATTCCCTTTGTCAATCGATACGTTACTTGCCCGAGACTCGATCGTCGGTATCCCAATACCTTGTTCAGTCTCGTTACCGGCAAGTCACTTTACTCGTACCGTAATGCATGATCCCGTGTCCAACACCTTGGTCACATTGAGCTCAATATGATGATGCATTACCGAGTGGGCCCAGAGATACCTCTCCGTCATACGGAGTGATAAATCCCAGTCTCGATCCGTGTTAACCCAATAGCTACTTTCGGAGATACCTGTAATGCACCTTTATAGTCACCCAGTTACGTTGTGACGTTTGATACACCCAAGGCACTCTTACGGTATCCGGGAGTTACACGATCTCATGGTCGAAGGAAGAGATACTTGACACTTGCAAAGCTCTAGCAAAACGAACTACACGATCTTTTATGCTATGCTTAGGATTGGGTCTTGTCCATCACATCATTCTCCTAATGATGTGATCCCGTTATCAACGACATCCAATGTCCATACTTAGGAAACCATGACTATCTGTTGATCACAACGAGCTGGTCAAATAGAGGCTTACCAGGGACATAGTGTGGTCTAAGTATTCACACGTGTATTACGATTTCCGGATAATACAGTTATAGCATGAATAAAAGACAATTATCATGAACAATGAAATATAATAATACTTTTATTATTGCCTCTAGGGCATATTTCCAACATGGATAGCAAGCTTCCATGCACCCCTGTCCATAGCTAGCTCTTCGGTGATACCCCAATCCTTCTGGTCTCTCTTAACGGACTCCTCCCATGTAAAATTTGGTCTACCCCGCCTTCTCTTGACATTCTCCGCACGCTTTAGCCACCCGCTATGCACTGGAGCTTCTGGAGACCTGCGCTGGATATGCCCAAACCATCTCAGACGATGTTGGACAAGCTTCTCTTCAATTGGTGCTACCCCAACTCTATCTCGTATATCATCATTCCGGACTCGATCCTTCCTCATGTGGCCACACATCCATCTCAACATACGCATCTCCGCCACACCTAACTGTTGAACATGTCGCCTTTTAGTCGGCCAACACTCAGCGCCATACAACATTGTGGGTCGAACCGCCGTCCTGTAGAACTTGCCTTTTAGCTTTTGTGGCACTCTCTTGTCACAGAGAATGCCAGAAGCTTGGCGCCACTTCATCCATCCGGCTTTGATCCGATGGTTCACATCTTCATCAATACCCCCATCCTCCTGCAGCATTGACCCCAAATACCGAAAGGTGTCCTTCTGAGGTACCACCTGACCATCAAGGCTAACCTCCTCCTCCTCACACCTAGTAGTACTGAAACCGCACATCATATACTCGGTTTTAGTCCTACTAAGCCTAAACCCTTTCGATTCCAAGGTTTGTCTCCATAACTCTAACTTCCTATTTACCCCCGCCCGACTATCGTCAACTAGCACCACATCATCCGCAAAGAGCATACACCATGGGATATCTCCTTGTATGTCCCTTGTGACCTCGTCCATCACCAATGCAAAAAGATAAGGGCTCAAAGCTGACCCCTGATGCAGTCCTATCTTAATCGGGAAGTCATCAGTGTCGACATCACTTGTTCGAACACTTGTCACAACATTATCGTACATGTCCTTGATGAGGGTAATGTACTTTGCTGGGACTTTGTGTTTCTCCAAGGCCCACCACATGACATTTCGCGGTATCTTATCATAGGCCTTCTCCAAGTCAATGAACACCATATGCAAGTCCTTTTGCTCCCTATATCTCTTCATAAGTTGTCGTACCAAGAAAATGGCTTCCATGGTTGACCTCCCAGGCATGAAACCAAACTGGTTTTTGGTCACGCTTGTCATTCTTCTTAAGCGGTGCTCAATGACTCTCTCCCATAGCTTCATTGTATGGCTCATCAGCTTAATTCCACGGTAATTAGTAAAACTCTGAACATCCCCCTTGTTCTTGAAGATTGGTACTAATATACTCCGTCTCCATTCTTCTGGCATCTTGTTTGCCCGAAAAATGAGGTTGAAAAGCTTGGTTAGCCATACTATCGCTATGTCCCCGAGACCTTTCCACACCTCAATGGGGATACAATCCGGGCCCATCGCCTTGCCTCCCTTCATCCTTTTTAAAGCCTCCTTGACCTCAGACTCCTGGATTCGACGCACAAAACGCATGCTGGTCTCATCAAAAGAGTCGTCCAGTTCAATGGTAGAGCTTTCATTCTCCCCATTGAACAGCTTGTCGAAGTACTCACGCCATCTATGCTTAATCTCCTCTTCCTTCACCAAGAATTGGCATGCTCCGTCCTTGATGCATTTGACTTGGCCAATATCCCTCGTCTTCCTCTCTCGGATCTTGGCCATCTTATAGATGTCCCTTTCGCCTTCCTTCGTGTAACCGTTGGTAGAGGTCCTCATACGCCCGACCCCTTGCTTCACCAACAGCTCGCTTTACGGCCTTCTTCGCCATCTTGTACTTTCTCTATGTTGTGTGCACTCCTATCCAGGTATAGGCGTCTGAAGCAATCTTTCTTCTCTTTAATCGCCTTCTGGACATCATCATTTCACCACCAGGTATCCTTATCTTCGCTTCTCCTTCCCCTGGACACTCCAAACTCCTCTGAGGCCACTTTGCGAATGCAAGTCGCCATCTTCATCCACACATTGTCCGCATCCCCTCCTTCCTCCCAAGGGCCCTCCTTAATGACCCTCTCCTTGAACGCCTGAGCTACCTCCCCCTTGAGCTTCCACCACTTCGTTCTAGCGACTTTAGCCCGCTTGTCCCGCTGGACACGAATCCGAAAGCGGAAGTCAGCAACCACCAGCTTATGCTGGGGTACAACACTCTCTCCAGGTATCACCTTACAGTCTAGGCACGCACGCCTATCTTCCCTTCTCGAGAGGATGAAATCAATCTGGCTAGAGTGTTGGCCACTACTAAAAGTCACCAGATGTGATTCTCTCTTTCTAAAGAGGGTGTTGGCTACAATCATGTTGTAGGCTAGAGCAAAGCTTAAGACATCTTCTCCTTCTTGATTCCTGATGCCATAGCTGAAGCCCCCATGCGCCCCTTCAAAACCTGTGTTAGATGTACCCACGTGGCCATTAAGGTCTCCTCCTATGAAGAGCTTCTCACCAATCGGTACATTCCTAACCATGTCTTCCAGGCCTTCCCAGAACTCCATCTTGGTGTTCTCATTGTGGCCTACTTGCGGGGCATACGCGCTGATAACATTGAGAACCAAGTCCTCAACTACCAGCTTGATCAGGATAATCCGGTCCCCACGTCTCTTGACGTCTACCACTCCATACTTGAGGCTCTTGTTGATCAAGATGCCTACGCCATTTCTGTTTGCAGCCGTCCCCGTGTACCATAGCTTGAAGCCGGATAGCCTAAAATTAATCCAAGAAAATGCAAGCCCTGATGGGCTGATTTCATCATAAAGAACCTAACATGTACTCCCTCCGTTCGGAAATACTTGTCGGAAAAATAGACGTTTCTAGATGTATTTTAGTTCTAGATACATCTATTTTTATGCATTTCTGCCATAAGTATTTCCGGACGGAGGGAGTACTTTATACTATTCTTACAATGTTTAGAATCCTGTGAATTGAAGAGGTCCTTTGAATCTTCGATCCACTATCACTCATGGTTTCTTTTCCTTGATGTTTTACTGTATCACTTTTTTTTGGGCTTAAGTTATCACTTTTTCTTGCGTATTGTTTGTTGTCACATTCAACCGTGTACACCACTGCTGTTCTGGATTGGTTAACAAAGTGTATCAATAACAAAAGAATCATTTCGCATTCTTCTTTTCCCCTCTCGCAAAGGCGACTAGGGTAAAGTCTTCCTTCCCTCAATCTTTGCCGGTGAGCCCACAAATTCGCCTTTTCTCTGCATGCCGGCTTTGACGGCTGATGGCAGGTAGGGTAACCATTGTGCCTCAGCTACGACTTAGTACATAGGTTAGGGTTTTAGTCATATCAGGTGCTATGCTAGGCAGATGGCAACTGCTTCGTCTTCAAGTCGGTCTTTAAGGCTGCGATCCAATCTTTACGTCAGAATGTAGAGTCGGTCTTTAAGGCCGAGATCCACTCTACGTCGGAATGTATTAGACAAAGCTCTCATTGAGGCGACAAGGTTAGGGTTTCTAACCATGTGTACAAGATGGTGAATTTGCTGTGAAATTGATTCAAGGTTCAACGACAACAACTACACCTCCAAGGCTAGTCATGCAAGAACTCAGGCAGGTCCAGCATGTGAGGAATCATAACAGAACCGTGTCCTTTTCACAAACAAAAAAGGCCTTCTGTATTGGAAGACATGCTTCGGACCTCTAGGCCACACCAGGGTACAAGAGAAGAAGAAAGTATGCTCTTTAGTACAGGGGAAAGTGTAAATTTACCTAGGGCTAATTAGTACGCTGTATTCCATCATAGTGTCACTCCAATCAAAATCGACCTACTTGGTATATAAGCCAAAATCACATGAAAACGGAATATCACAAGCTGATCTTCTTTGACAGATGGTACACAGTTGTATGTAATTTTGGGCCTCTGTAATCTGGACTTCAGATACCGAATGCTGACTGCAGGGATGATGTGATGCGGGATGTGATGGCGTTTTGAGCAGCATTTTCAGCAAAAGCTCGGATGTTCTTCTTGGCATCTGTAATATAAATGCCCACGATGAAGTGTGTCAGATTTGATAGGTATATCAGAACAAGCTTCAACAAAGAACACATAACTTTTGTTTATAAAAAGATAAATGGATAATATCACAAAAGCAGAGCTCGTAAAGTAAACAAAAGCAAAGTGGAATGCCACAGGCTAAATGAAGGTTGAAAGAACAATAAATAGTAACCCATGGCATTCTGTTGCTGCACGTATGCAAAAGTAACTATCTGACTGTAAACCCAAGAAGCTGAACTGACTAACTAGCTCAATGCTCCAAAAAAGAGAAAGGCCAGCAAATAATATCAAATGTAATGAAGTTATGCAGAATTGGAATTACGACATTTCATTATTTCATCAGTGAATCTTACATCGAATAGATATTGTTGCTTACTTGCTTATCAGAACAATAAGCAGTTTGTGAGGGCAATGCATAATACAGTACGATACAACTTCCCCCCATATGAGACATGTTGACAAGAATGAAAGTATGCCATACCTTTGTTGCATTTGGTGAACCCCACGATGTTTGCAAGGCTTAGAGTCAAGCAAACTCCAACAACAAGAAGGTAATCAGCTTCAAGTCTAATGAGTGAAAATATCCCAAGAATGATCCATGCAGCAGCCTGAAACATAAGAGGGGTTTTATATATTCTCTATAGTTCAAACAAAGCTACGGAAGTCTGATATGGAGTAGTTACTACATTAATTAGTAAGACAGTAACATGTATCAAAGGGACAAGGGAACACTTTCATGGAATGCTGTCGAGTATTGGCACGCAGGCTCGGTTATCTACATCTTAGGACAACCTTCCATTTTATCAAGAGAGTAATGCATCAACTGCATTCGTTGAATTTTTTTTCTAGAGAAATACAACAGCCGAACTTAGTGGTGTGCATTACAGTACAGCAGTAGCATTGGGGAAAAGAACATAAAGACATATATAGGCAAACACATAAGATCCACCTTTAATAGATGCTAGTAGTAAAGGGATTGCTGATTTAGTATGAGAAGATATAATCCCATTGTGAGCACAACTTACTTATTTATGTGATATGTAGTATGATCCACAGTCAGCTCAAGAATAAATTGGAAAAGATGAAGTTTATATAGAAGCAGAAAGTACTAAGAAGCATGTATGTATTTAAGAATCATCGAGGATGTCTAAGTTGACTTATCCCTAATGGATCTTAACCACTGTTCTAGTGCTCTGATAATACATGTTGTGTTTCTCCTCGTTATAACCAGATGCTCTAGTCCGATGAAAATCAGTGTAACATAGACCTTATAAATATTGATAATTGGCAGATGTATATACTCCCACTGTCCCATAATGTAAGGCGTTTTTTGACACTACTGTAGTGTAAAAAAACGTCTTACATTATGGGACGGAGGGAGTAGATAACTAAACCAAAAGCAATACTGAAACACGTTAGCAGATACAGTAGAAAAATGTTAGTAAACCATGATGTCCTTCTGTCTGCGCCTAGGACTAACAGATTGGTTTATGTTATTATGAACTGCAAACATTATCCAATGTCAAGATATGCTTATTCTCAATAGAAGTCTTAGCTTGTACGCAATCAGATATATGCCGAATCACTAAATTTATTGAACTCCTGCATGCACTCTGTTAAAGCCTGAATGAAAGATAATATATCACTTACGTTCAAGTAAAGAGTCCACCAGAACAGCCACGAGTCCTTTTTGTTCATCCGAGCGAGAGACTGCAAGGAAGCACTTTGTTCATCAATTCACCATTCAAACAGCAGAAGAGACGCCAAATACAGAACAAGCACGAACCTCGCCATCGAGGCACTCGAACTTCCACACACTGTTGCCATCATCGTCAATCTCATTCCACCACCGCAGCCCGACGAGTATCCTTCCGCTGACATTCTTCACCACCCAGAAGTCGAGCGCGGCGAGGAGCACGGTGATGACAAAGATGATGACGAAGCTCTTCACGAAGAGCGAGAAGAGGATGTAGAACGCCAGCGCCGACGCCTTTTGCAGAGAGACACAAGAATGAATTAAGCATCCAATGCAAGCAACAACCCTAAGTAGCGGATGGGGGTTCCACGGAGGAAGAATCAGGTACCTTGAAGAGCACATGGAAGAGGCATGTTATAGGATTGGCATAGTTCTCGCTGACCACCTGCAACGACGTTCATGTCATCATTCAGTCAGTCAGTCACATTGCAGCAGATCTAAAACTGGCCAGAAGCGATTAGACTCCCAGCCACAGGATTTAACAGTGGGCCAATTAAGCCCAAGAAACCAGCTCCTCCTATTATTATCCTACTAGACAAAACCAAATCTTGATCTAATTTAGCCCAGATCTCATGCGACCGAGTAGGTATGTATCTCTTGCGACCAATCGAGGTTCAGACACAGTTCCAAGAAACCCCCCTGACTGGATCCGACGCCGGACACAAGAACCCTAATCCAAGAAAACGCCAGATCTTGGGCAAGTCCTTCCTCCTACTCGAGGTACAGGCAAAGCGAAGAGCTCGGATCCGAACTTCCGTGCGGAGACGAAGAAGACGACGAGGAGGTGGGTGGGGGAATGGGATTAGGGAATAATCACCTGGGGCCGATCCATGGATCCTCTTGGCTCTGCCTCCGGAACGCCTCGCTCTCTCGCCTCTTTCTTCTTCCCTCGGGTGCTAAGGATGCGCCAGCTTTGGGCTTTCGTTGCTTCCTTCGCGCGGTCGCGCCCTGGCTCTACCACCGAGGGGAGAAAGAGGGATCGGGGAGGTGAGGTGAGGTACAGTCAAGTAAACCGCGGGTTATTTTCCACTTATTTTCCGAACTTTTTATATTGGCACTTGGTATAAAGAAAAATGGCAGTAATATTTCTTTTAATCTTTTATTTAAAAGAAGAAAATAAGGAGCGACCCCTAATGCCTCGAAGCTCCATTAGTTTAGGGAAAACCCTTAAATTCAACCAGCTGATCCAATAAAAAAAAACAGTCAGCCGCACGGCCGTTCGATTAGAGTTAATCGACGCCACATGTTATTGGCCCTATCTTGAGCTTCACCAATAGCTCATATAAAAAAATCCCCATAAATATTGTTTTATCGGATGTTAATATAATCTAAGGAAGGTTGACACATGAGTTGCTTTTGCAGTTACCGTAAAAATCTTCCCCTAAAAATGGTATTTGTTGGTGGCGGCGCTGATGTGGTAGTTTTATAGAAGTGTTTAGGGAAAGGGTCATCCCGCGTAGATGGAAGGGGAGTTGTCTTGATTATTTGGGGTCCCTAGGCTTTTTTCCCCTTTTACGGGAATTGTTGGAGCACTTTCTTTTGCCCAACTCGTCATAAACCAGACATTTTTACGGGAAAGGAGAACTATTAGTGATGCTCTTACTCGCTCAAAATATCTACTACTATTCTATCCTTAACCTCAGGAGTCATCTCCCACTATTAGTGATGCTCTTACTATTAGTGATGCTCTTACTCGCTCATCTTCCTCGGCGCTCTCTCTTCCTGTTGTCGCCGTCGACACTCATCTACCCCATCGCTCTCGTCTCTCTCTTTCTACGACTCATCCAGAGCTCTAACCTCCACCACGAACCACCCCTGCTGCCACAAACTTTAAGGCTAGCACCCGATGCTGGGGGCACCTCTTGTGTCGTGTAGCTGCAAAGCACCGCTCACCGGTGTTGCAACCCGAGGTGTGCAGCGTGATACTGTATGGTCCAGAGTTCGGGCATCGATGCTGCAAGGTCTGGGGGTGCTGCTCGACAGTGTCGTAACAGCAGGAATCTCACTGACGGGTGCTGCAACTGGTGGTTGTACTACAAGCCGATGTTTGCTGGTGACTGATGTTGCAACGTGGAGCCCGCAAAGCAGTGGTGCAACTCGAGGAACCTCGTTGACGCTACATGTCGTGGGCGATGCTTCAATCGATGGCCGGTACTACATCCGTGGAGCTCGTCGGCGCCACGAGTTGCGTTTGGTGCTGCAAGGGGTGGTTGTAGCAATGTCGTTGTTGGTTGGTGCAATCGCGGAGCTTGCCAACGTCGCAAGCCATGACCGGTGCTGCAAGGGGTGCTTTCGGTAGCGTCATTCGTGCCATCCTAGAGCTCTTCGACTCCGCAAGCCGTGGCCAGTGTGATGGCTCGATATTTTGTCACTTTTATAAGAATGTTTTGATGTGGTTCTCAAAAGGTTTTCGCTAATTCTCGTATTTTTCTAATGCTAATCCTTCGAGAAACAAGAGAAGTTATTTTTCATATTAATGTGCAGGAACATATATTTTTGGAAGGAAACCAATCAAGATCCCAACAAATGAAGTCATTTAGAGCAACTGTCCTTTTGGGTGAAAATTCATTAGAGGCACCAAAGCAGAAGAGGGCGCATGGTACGAGCGCACCCACTCACACCAGAGCAGAAGATGGCGCATGGTATTGATACGTTTCCAACGTATCTATGACTTTTTATTGTCTCATGCTATTATAGTATTAATCTTGGATGTTTAATATGCAATTATATATCATTTTTTGGGACTAACCTATTAACTTAGTGCCAAGTGCTAGTTGCTATTTTTGCCTGTTTTTGGTTTTCCAAGAAATCAATACCAAACGAAGTTCAAATGCCACGAAACTTTTTGAAGATTTTTTTTTCTGGACATAAGAAACACTAGAAGTTTCGGGAGGAAGTTAGCTTGGTGCCTCGTGGGACCCTCGTTGCTCCATTTGACCTAATTCTGACTATAAAATACTCTAAAGTCGGGAAACCAACAGAGAGCCACCCAAAACACTTTTCCCGCCGCTACAAGCTTCTGATCTCGTGAGATCCCATCTAAAGGCCTTTTCCGGTACTTTGCCAGAGGGGGAATCGATCACAGAGGGCTTCTACATTAACCTTGCCGCCCCTCGATGATGTGTGAGTAGCTACCACAGACCTACGCGTCCATAGCTAGTAGCTAGGTGGCTTCTTCTCTCTCTTTGATCTTCAGTACAATGTTCTCCTCGATATTCTTGGAGATCTATTCGATGTAATTCTTTTTGTGGTGTGTTTGTTGGGATCTGATGAATTGTGGGTTTATGATCAGATTATCCATGACTATTATTTGAGTCTTCTCTGAATTCTTTTATGCATGATTGTTATAGCTTTTTATTTCTCTTCGATCTATCCGTTTGATTTGGCCAACTAGATTGATTTATCTTGCAATGGGAGAGGTGCTTTGTGATGGGTTTGATCTTGCGATGCTCAATCCCAGTGACAGAAAGGGGCATGACACGTATTCGTATCATTGCCATTAAGGATAAAATGATGGGGTTTATTCATATTGATTGGTTTACTTTGTCTACATCATGTCATCTTGCTTAAGGTGTTACTCTGTTCTTTATGAACTTAATACTCTAGATGCATGCTGGATAGCGGTTGATGTGTGGAGTAATAGTAGTAGATGCAGGCAGGAGTTGGTCTACTTGTCTCATATGTAATGCCTATATAAATTATCATTGCCTTGGATATCATCATTATTATTCGCTTTTCTATCAATTGCCCAATAGTAATTTGTTTACCCACCGTATGTTATGTTCAAGAAAGAAGCCTGTAGTGAAAAGTATGTCCCCCGAGTCTATCTTTATCATATATTAAAATCCAAAAATACCTTACTGCAATTTATTTACTTTTATTTTATTTTGCATTTTTGTTTATCTATCTATCACTATGAGATTTGATCCTTGCTATTAACCTCCAAGGGATTGACAACCCCTTGTTTGCGTTGGGTGCAAGTATTTGTTATTTTGTGTTTACTACTAACGAGCTATTGCGTGGTTCTCCTACTGTATTAATAACATTGGTTCTTAACTGAGGGAAATACTTATCTCTACTGTACTGCATCATCCTCTCCTCTTCGAGGAAATCCCAACGCAGCTCACAAGTAGTAGAAAGAATTTCTGGCGCTGTTGCCGGGGAGACATCATTAACATCTATGAAGTACCATCGCATAAACTTTCATCTCCTTGCATTTACTTTATTTGCCATTTGCCTCTCATTTTCATCTCCCTCACTTCTAAAACGTTTTTACAAAAACACAAAAATACTTTTCATTTGCCCTTTTGCTTGTTTGCTTGCTTGAAGTTGTTACCATGTCTGAGTTTGTTATTGAGAAAGAGGATGGTAACATCCCTAGAGTTGAAATTCCCCAAAATTTGGATTCTATTTTTTTTGTGTGGAGCACGGGAACGTTATAGGTAAAAGTGTTATCCAAGAATTATTTAATTGCACGGGGACATTTCTTATAGTGATACTCCTATTCTAAAAAGAACCAAGAGTTAATCCAAAGTTATTTCAGCGCTTATTCTTATACTTGGAATAAAATTTATGCATACTCACCCCACTTTACAAAGGTTGTTTTATGAGTTACTTGTTATCAACAACCCCTAAGGCTAAGAAGACAGCGACTCTCATCCTTATGGATGAATTTGATTATATAGTATGTGAGGCTAGAGAGATCTTTGATTTCTATAATATGAGTAGTGAACATCCGGTTATAGATGAAATTTTGTATGAAGGAGGACTATTTATTAAGGCATTTGTTTCGTGATAATCATACCTTTGATGAAAACACTAAAAGGGAAGTTCCTCCTATACATATTATCCAACAAATTTTCAATGGTATTAATCAACAATATGCTTGGATAGTAAAGGGACACCAACAAGGGTTTGAGGAAGGTTGTTTTGATAATACTAAAATCATGGTTAATGATGTGTTCCCCATTCTTTTTGAAAAACCTCCCGATGAACCCGTGGCTAATGATGCAAAAACTAAATATGACAACACTTGAAACTACGCATTACGCCTACCTAGGGGCGTAAAATAATAGCGTTTGTTGGGATGCAACCTAGTAGTTATCTTAGTTTTTCTAGTTCTTTTTTGTTTTTTGGTGTGCACACAATTATACTACTGTTATGGTTGCGTTTTTGTGTTTAAAGTAGTGTTTGTTCAAAGTAAAACCTTTGGGATGATTTGGATGATAGTTGCTTTGATTTTGTGAGAAAATAATTTTTTTGTCCAGTAACATAATTTTCTAAATTCACTGGTACGTGATAAAATTCTGAATATATATATATATATGTATATATGTATATATATATATATATATATATATATATATATATATATATATTGCCCAGGTTGTCCTAAGTTTTTGAATTTTTAAAGTTACAAAAGTATGGTTATTGTTTGAATCATTTCAGACTGTTCTGTTTTTGACAAATTATTCTTTCGTTGCGTTGTTGTAAGTGCATCTAGTGCCACCCCTAGTTGATTTTGGAGTATTGACGACAAAGTTGGTTAAGGGACTAATGCGTTTGTGAGAATTGCAGGATAACGCAGGTAGTGTCTCTCATTGATTCGGTTTACCTACCGGAGATAACCCCTAAAAATGTATGAAGACATTGAAGACAATGGTGGTATGTGAAGATATTCACATTGAAGACTATGGCGAGAGAAGACATTGAGTGAAGACTATGGAGCGCGAAGACTGTGTTGTTTTGCTGTTTCCTTTTCTTCTTTGTTGAGTCATAGGAACCACCATACTGTTAAGTGGGGTCCAAGTGAACTAAGTCAGAATGACTGAA